TACTCTCTTTTCCTAGTTTGTTATAGAATTTTTTTAAAAATTGTGAATGAATGTTGAATTTTGTCAACTGCCTTTTCTACATCTATTGAGATAATCATATGGTTTTTCTTCTGTAGTCTGTTGATATGGTGAATTACATTTACTAATTTTCCAGTTTTGAATCAGCTTTGCATTCCGGGCATAAACCCCACTTTTTCATGATATGTTGTCTTTTTTATATATTGTTTGATTCTATTTCCTAATACTTTGTTAAGCATTTTTGTGACTGCGTTCATGAAGATATTGGTTTATAGTTTAATTTTCTTATGTCTTTGTCTGATTTTGGTATTAGGGTAATGCTAGCCTCAACGAGTGAGTTCCGTACTCTTCAATTTTCTGGGAGAATTTATGAGCAATTAGTTAGCTTGTAATATTATTCTTCATCACTTGGCCTAGTGAACTTTGCCTCCACTCTCCTGTGTATCTGACTTAAATTATTTGCTGCAACTAGATCACCTTTGTTTCTTTTTTTTTTTTTTAAAGATTTTATTTATTTTCCCCCCAAAGCCCCAGTAGATAGTTGTATGTCATAGTTGCACATCCTTCTAGTTGCTGTATGTGGGACATGGCCTCAGCATGGCCAGAGAAGCGGTGCATGGGTGCGCACCCGGGATCCGAACCCGGGTCACCAGCAGCAGAGCACGCGCACTTAACCGCTAAGCCACGGGGCTGGCCCAGCACCTTTGTTTCTGATTGCAGTATTTCCAGCACTTAACCTTATTACTCCTTTTTTAAATTATATCTCCTCATTTTATTTTTATTTATTTATTTATTTTGTGTGTGTGTGTGAGGAAGATCAGCCCTGAGCTAACATCCATGCCAATCCTCCTGTTTTTGCTGAGGAAGACTGGCCCTGGGCTAACATCCGTGCCCATCTTCCTTCACTTTATATGGGATGCCACCACAGCATGGCTTGACAAGTGGTGTGTTGATGCGCGCCTGGCATCCAAACCCCGGGCCGCCGCAGCATAGTGCATGCACTTAACCACTACGTCATGGGGCCAGCCCCTCCTTTTTTAAATTAAAAGAAAAACTTATTGAGGCAAAATTGGTTATAACATTATATGTTTCAAGTGTACAACATTATAATTTCACATCTGTGTACACAACAAAATAATCACTACCAATCACTATCATCCGTTACCATATGATTGACCTCCTTCACCCATTTCACTCATATCCCAACCCCCTTCCCCTCTGGTAATCACCAGTCTAGTCTCTGTATATATGAGTTTGTTTTTGTTTTGTTTTTTAGATTCTACATATGAGTGAAGTCATACGGTATTTGTCTTTCTCCATATGGCCTGTTTCACTTAGCATAATACCCTCAAGCTCCATCCATATTGTTGCAAATGGCAAGATTTCATTCATTTTTATGGCTGAGTAGTATTCCATTGCATGTGTACAGTCATGCATCACCTAATGATGGGGATAGGTTCTGAGAAATGGGTTGTTAGGTGATTTCATCGTTGTGTGAACTCTTAGAGTGTACTTACACAGACCTAGATGGTATAGCCTATTATACACCTAGGATATATGGTACTAATCTTATGGGACCACCATTGTATATGTGGTCTGTTATTGGCCATAACATTATGTGGCACATGACTGTATGCCACATCTTCTTTATCCATTAATTTATCGATGGACACTTTGGTTGTTTCCATATCTTGGCTATTGTAAATCATGCTGCAATGAACATATGGGTAGATATATCTTTTTGAATTAGTGTTTTCATATTTTTTGAATAAATACTCAGAAGTGGAATTTTTAATTTTGGTAAAATACGCATAACATAAAATTTACCATCTTAACCATCTTTAAGTGTACAGTTCAGTAGTGTTAAGTATATTCACATTGTTGTGCAATCAATCTCCAGAACTTTTTCATCTTGCAAAACTGAAACTCTACACTCATTAAACAACAACATTCCATTTCCCTCTCCCCCAGCCTCTGGAAACCACCATTCTACTTTGTCTCTATGAATTCAACTCTTCTAGATAGCTCATATAAATGGAATCATACAGTATTTGTCTTTTTATGACTGGCTTATTTACTTAGCATATGTCTTAAGTTTCATCCATGTAGCATGTGTCAGAATTTATTTCCTTTCTAAGGCTCAATAATGTGTCATTGTATGTATATACCACATTTTGTTTACCCATTCATTTGCCAATGGACACTTGAGTTGTTTCCACCTCTTGGCTATTGTGAATAACGCTTTTATAAGCATAGGTGTATAAATATCTCTTGGGGACCCTGCTTTCAATTCTTTTGAGTAAATACTGAGAAGTAAAATTTCTGGATCATATGGTAATTGATTTTTAATTTTTTGAGGAACTGCCACACTGTTTTCTATAAAGGCTGCACCATTTTATATTCCCACAACCAGTGTATAAGAGTTCCAATTTTTCATATCCTCACCAACATTTCTTTTCTTTTTTTTAATAGTAGCCATCCTAATGAATGTGAAGTGGTATATCATTGTGGTTTTGATTTGCGTTTCCCTAATGATTAGTGATGTTGAGCTTCTTATCATATGCTTGTTGGCCATTTGTATATCTTTTTTGAATGCCTATACAAGTCCTTTGCCTGTTTTTTTGTTTGTTTATTTTTTTTCCTGGGAAGGATTCGCCTTGAGCTAATATCTGTTGCCAATCTTCGTCTTTATTTTTTTTTTCCCCAAAGCCCCAATGCACAGTTGTATATCCTAGTTGTAAGTCCTTCTAGTTCTTCTATGTGAGCCACTGCCACAGCACGGCAACTGACAGACAGGTGGTGTGGTTCCACGACTAAGAAGCAAACCTGGGCCACCCAAGTGGTGAGAGTGCTGAACTTTAACCACTAGATCATCAGGGGTGACTCTGCCCATTTTTGAATTAGGTTATTATTATTTTTTTGATGTTGATTTGTAGGAGTTCTTTATATATTGTGGATATTAAATCTTTATGAGATATATTATTTGCAAATATTTTCTTCCATTCCATAGGTTGCCTTTTCACTCTGTTGATTGTGTCCTTTGATGCACAAAAGTTTGAAATTTTGGTTTAGTCCAATTTATCTATTTTTACTTTTGTTGCCTGTGGTTTTGGTGTCAGATCCAAGAAATCATTGCCAAATCCAATGTCATGAAGATTTTCCCTCTATGTTTTCTTCTGTTTTATAGCTTTTAGTCTTATGTTTAGGCTTTTGATCCACTTTGAGTTAATTTTTGTATATGTGGTGAGGTAAGGGTCCAACTTCATTCTTTTGCATATGGATATTCAGTTTTCCCAAGACCATTTGTTGAAACACTGTCCTCCATTGAATGGTCTTGGCACTCTTACCAAAAATCATTTGACCATATTGGCAAAAGTTTATTTCTGGGCTTTCTATTCTATTCCATTGGTCTATATGTCCGTCTTTATGCTAGTATGAAATTTTAATTACTGTAGCTTTGTAGTAAGATTTGAAAATGAGAAGGGTGAGCTCTCCAACTTTATTCTTTTTTTTCAAGACTATTTTGGGTGTTCAGGGTGCCATGAGATTCCATATGAATTTTAGGATGGATTTTTCTATTTCTGCAACAAATACCATTGGGATTTTGATAGAGATTGCATTAAATCTGTAGATCAGTTTCGGTAGTATTGATGTCTTAAAAATATTAAGTCTTCCAATCCGTGAACATGGAATGTCTTTCCACTTATTTGTGTCTTCTTTAATTTCTTTCAGTAACATTTTATAGTGAAAATTACAAGTGCACAAGTCTTTCACCTCCTTGGTTAAGTTTATTCCTATTATTTTTATTCTTTTGATGCTATTGTAAGTGGAATTGTTTTCTTAATTTCCTTTCAGATTGTTCATTGTTAATGTACAGCAGCACAATTGATTTTCGTATCTTGCAACTTTGCCGAATTCATTTATTAGTTTTAACAGTTTTCACATGTGGAATCTTTAGGGTTTTCTACATATAAGATCATACCATCTGCAAACAGATATAATTTTACTTCCTCCTTTCCAATTTGGATGTATTTTACTTCTTTTTCTTGCCTAATTGCTCTGGCTGGAACTTCCAGTAACAAGTTGAATAGAAGTGGTGAAACTGGGCATCCTTGCCTTGTTCCTGATCTTAGAGGAAAAGCTTTCAGTCTTTCACCATTAAGTATGATATTACTTCTAAATTTTTCGTATATGGCCTTCATTATGCTAAGGAAGTTTCCTTCTATTCCTAATTTTTTGCATGTTTTTATCATGAAAAGGTGTTGAATTTTGTCAAATGCTTTTTCTGCATTAATTGAGATGATCATGTGGGTTTTTTCCTAGTATCCTGTTAATTTGGTGTATTTTGTTGTAACAACCAAAAATGGTTCCATAAATTTCCAAATGCCACTTATGAAGCAATAATCACCCCCACTGAGAACTATAGGGATAAAATGATGAACAAAAGAAGTTTGCTGATAGACTCTTAAGGAGGGGAGATAATGAAATAAAAGTCATGTTAAGGAATATTGTGATAGCTGCTTTCCAGGTGTGAGGGCTAGGTAAAGAAAGAAAAAACAAGCAACTTTCTTTTATTTGTTTCTTTATAGCAGCCATAGTTCATAAAGCATTTTCACATACATTGTACACCTCACATCAACTGTGAATTTAGTATCTCCACCATTTTACAAATGAGGCAGGGGCAGCTCAGAATTGTTAAGTGATTTATGAAAAAACATTTTAACCAAGGGGCTAGAGCTGAGATCCAGATATGGTTTCAAAGCCAACGTTCTTTTCATTACATCATAGCAATGCTAGGATGATGAAGGCAGAAAAAAAATTTTTAAGAGGGAAAATCTGAGACCCACAGTAAAGCTAGAATTAGCAGGACCTTGATTGGACAGCTTTATAGTAACTGTCACGATATTCTGGGAAGAAAAGTGACCAAAGCTTATTGTCAAACTGAGAATTTATTAATATTTTCCCCCTTCTTATTCTTATAGGACGTTAATATGCGGCTGGGTGACATAATGCTCAACGTGCAGCGGATAATAAATCGCTACACTGTTGATGAGCATGTGCACTCTGGAAGGAAAATCTCCCTTCTAGAACATAAGAAACGGAGAACAAATTTGCTGGAGAAAATGGTTACTTACACTAAGGCTGCTGAAATGAGAGAAAAGATTCTTGTCTACATCTTGGCCTGTTTGGAAGAATGGAGTAAGTTTCTAGAAGTGGTTTACAGGAAAACCACAAAGTTAAGGAAAAAGCTAGAGAATAGGATCTATAAGTAAATTTTGAAGGATTAATCAGACTAAAGAAGACTAAGGAGGTTATTCAGTGAATAGCTGTCCTCTGTTCCAGTAGGAATAAAATAAGAAAAATATAGGCTTTCTCACTTAATACCAGCTATTCTGGCCTCCTCGATTTTCTTCAAGCTTGCCAGCATGCTCCTGCCCACTGTCTTTACGCTTACTATTCCCTTGCCTGGAACATTTTCTACCAGGTAGCCACATGGCTCATTCTCTGCTTATATCTCACTTTACAATGAGATATTCTCTGACCATCCCCATTCCCTACCCCCTGGCACTGTCCATTACTCTTTACTCTATGTTTGCCTATAGCATTCATTTCTTACCACCTGACATACTATATAATTAACGTTATTATTTTTTGTCTTACATTCTTTCACTAGAATGTAAGCAGTATAAAGTTGGGGAATTTGTTTTATTCAATGCTGTATCCTCAGCATCTAGAACAGTACATGACAGAGGAGACATACGTTGAATGAAGGAATGAATAAGCGAAAATACAAAAAAGAAGAATTTCATTTAGTTGCAAGAAATCTCATGTAACATGGGTTACAAAATACTAGATATCTTACCAAAGGAGTTAACTGGGGCTTAGATCCCCAATATTAAAATGCATGTTTACATTTTAGATACGTACTTCCCTGGAATCAGGGAACTAAACCAAATAGAGACCTTTTAATATGATTTGTATTTACATGTCCAAGATTTACTATTCAGCCTTCTATTCCAAGTCTCTGCCTTTTTCATTTCTTCATAGAGAAAAGCTTCAGATAGCAATAAGTGTGAGATACCTATGTTCCTGGTGCTACACAATATTGAGTGGTTAGCCAATATTATAAGCCTATATGGTTATAATTATTTATTTTTCTGCAAAGGAGTAATTTTTTTACTCTCTTCAAGATGCCATTTTGTCTGAGATGACTGAAATTGATATTGAAGAACACCACCACTGGATAGCACAAATGCAGATTTTACCAGAAACGTTCAAAGCTATTGAGGGCAACGTCAAGATACTGAGTAGAATTAGTACATCTTTGCTCGAAGAAAAGAGGAAACAAAAGAAAAAAATAAGTAAGAGTGCTTTAAGACATTGGAAATAATTTGACTACAGTTATTAAGGTATAATTTACATACCATAAAACTTACCCATGTTAAGTGGAAAATTCAATGACTTTTAGTAAATTTAGAGTTGTGTGACTATTACCACAATTCAATTTTAGAACATTTCCATCATCTCCAAAAGATCCCTCATGCCCATTTGCAATCAATCCTCATTCCTAGCCCCAGCCCCAGTCAACCGCTAATCTATTTTCTGTCTCAATAGATTTGCCTTTTCTGGATATTTCATAAAATGGAATTATACGTGGTCTTTTATGTCTGGCTTCTTTCATTTAGCATAATGCTTTTGAGGTTCAGCCATGTTGTAAGCTGTATCAGTAGTTTCTTCCTTTCTATTGCCAATTCTATATCATTGTTTGCATGTACCACATTTTGTTTACCCATTCACGAGCTCATGGACATTTGGATTGTTCCCAGTTTTTGGCTTTTATGAGTAATGCTGCTATGAACACACATGTATAAGTCTTCGTGTGGCCATATGTTTTCATTTCTTTTGGGAAGATACCTAAGAGTAGAATTGCTAGGTCATTTATTTATCTATTGCTGGTAAATATATGCTTAACTTTTTAAGAAATTGTTGACTTATTTCCCAAGTGACAGCACCACTTATATTCCCATCAGCAATGTATTAGGGTTCCAGTTTCTCCACGTCCTCAACAACACTTTTTATTGTCTGTCTTTATTGTAGCCTTTCTAATAGGTGTGAAGTGGTATCTCATTGTGGTTTTAATTTGCATTTCCCTAATGACTAATGACGTTGAGCATCTTTTCATGTACTTATTAGCCATTTCTATATCTTCTTTGAGGAAACGTCTATTCAAATACTTACCCATTTTTATTATTGAGTTTTAAGAGTTCTTTGTATTTTCTAGATACAAGTCCTTTATCAGAAAAGTGATTTACAAATCTTTACTCCCAGTCTGTGGCTTATGTTTTCATTTTCGAACTTTTTTTTTTTTTTTTTGGTGAGGAAGATTGTCCCTGAGCTAACATTTGTGCCAGTCTTCCTCTACTTTGTATATGGGATGCCTCCACAGCATAGCTTGATGAATGATGTGTAGCTCCGCGCCCAAGATCCAAACCTGTGAACCCTGGGCTGCTGAAGCAGAATGCGTGAACTTAACCACTATGCCACCGGGCTGGCCCCAACCATTGATTTTTCTTTTTTTGAGGAAGATTGGCCCTGAGCTAACATCTGTTGCCAATCTTCCTCTTTTTCTTTTTTCTCCCCAAAGCCCCAGTACATAGTTGTATATCCCAGTTGTAGGTCCTTCTAGTTCTCCTATGTGGGACGCCACCTCAGCATGGCTTGATGAGTGGTGAGTAGGTTGGTGCCCAGGATCTGAACTGGTGCACCCCTGGTCACCAAAGTGGAACGGGCGAACTTAACTGCTACACCACTGGGCTGGGCCCCCCACCAACCACTGATTGTGTGTGTGTGTGTGAGGAAGATCAGCCCTGAGCTAACATCCATGCTAATCCTCTTTTTTGCTGAGGAAGACTGGCTCTGAGCTAACATCTATTGCCAATCCTCCTCCTTTTTTTCCCCAAAGCCCCAGTAGATAGTTGTATGTTATAGCTGCACATCTTTCTAGTTGCTGTATGTGAGACACGGCCTCAGCATGGCCGGAGAAGCGGTGCATTGGTGCGCACCCGGGATCCGAACCCGGGCCGCCAGCAGCGGAGTGCACGCACTTAACCGCTAAGCCACCAGGCCGGCCCAATTGCTGATTTTTAATGTCCCTAGAGTTTAGATTTTTCAAGAATGTCGTGTAGTTGGAATCATGCAGCATGTAGTTTTTTCAGACTGGTTTGTATCATTTAGCAATATACATTTAAGGTTCTGCCACATCTTTTTGTGGTTTAATAGCTTATTTCTTTCCATTTCTGCATAATATTCCGTTGTATAGATGTACTACAGTTTGTTTTTCTCCACCCATTGAAGGACATCTTGGTTTCTTCCAGGTTTTAGTGATTAAGATTAAACTTGCTATAAACATTCTTGCACAAGTTTTTTGTGTAGACATTAAGTTTTCAAATTAACCTAGGAGCATGATTGCATGATAAGACTACATTACTTTATAAGTAACTTTGTAAGAAACTGCCAAACTGTCCTCTCGAGTAGCTATACCATTTTTCATTCCCACCAGCAATAAACAAGAGTTCCTTTTGCTCCATATCCTTGCCAGCATTTGGTATTATCAGTTTTTTGGATTTTATCTATTTTAATAGGTGTGTGACAGTATCTCATTGTTAATTTGCAATTCTTTAATGACAGATGATATTGAGCATCTTCTCATATGCTTACTTATCATCTGTATATCTTATTTCTTACCTTTATCTTTTTTTATAAGTTGTACATGCATGCTACTTTGAGAAGAGTGTTATGGAAGAGTCACAGGGAATGGATGTGATAGACATTTTGTAATGCATTTAGAGAAGTGTTTAAAAATACATGCAATAAGGATGTGTATGAGAGTGGTACGTGCATGCTACTTTGGAAAAAGTGTTATTTGGGAATGGACGTCTTATGTTTATTTTTTGAAGCATACTTTTGCTGGGTATAGAATTCTTCGTTAGCAGTATTATTCTTACAGTACTTTGAATATATTACCCCACTGCCTTCTGGCTTCCATTGTTTCCAATAAGAAGTGAGCTGTTAAATTTGCTGTGGTTCCCCTGTACTTGATGAGCCTCCTTTGATTGTGATGAGTCATTTTTCTTTTTGGTTTGAAGATTTTTTGTCTGGCTTTCAACAGTTTGACTATGATGTGTCTAGGTATGGATCTTATTGTTTATCCTACTTAGAGTTTACTGAGCTTCTTGAATTTGTAGGTTAATATTTTTCATCAAATATGAGATGATTTGTCCACTATTTCTTCCAATATTTTTAATGTCCCTCTTTCTCTCCTCTTCTTGCAAGACTTCTGTTACTTGTACATTGGTATGTTTGATGGTGTCCCACAAGTCTCTGAAGTTTTGTTCATTTTTCTTTATTCTTTTTCCTCCCTGTTCTTCAGGTTCACCAATCTCTGCTAATCTAGTGTTAAGTTTGCTAGTTATTTTCTTCTGTCAGTTCAAATCTGCTATTGAGCCCTTTTGGTGAATTTTTCATTTCAGTTATTATACTTTTCAAGTCCAAATTTTCCACTTGGTTTTTCTAATTTCCATCTCTTTATTGATATGCTCTATTTGATGAGTAATTATCATCATATTTTCCTTTTATGTTAAAATATGGTTCCCTTTAGTTCTTAGGACATGTTTATAATTACTTCTTTTGAGGTCATTTTTCTGATAAGTCCAATATCTGGCCTCCCCTGACCCTGACCCCTGAAACAATTTCTATTGACTGCTTTTTTCCCCTATGTATGGGTCACACTTTTCTGTTTCTTTGCATGCTTATTTTATGTTGAAAAATGGACATTTTAGATAATATATTGTAGCAACTCTGGATTCTGATCCTCCCTACAACCTCCAGGATTTGTTTTTGTTGCTTTCTTTGGTTTGTTTTTTAGTGACTTGCCTGGTCTAATTCAGTGGAGTCTGTCTCTCCCACAGTGTGCAGCCACTGTTATCTCTTACAAGTTTCTTTTTTCATTTTTGTTTTTATTTTTAAGCCTGAAGTCCTAGGGGTCACCTTTGGGTCAACATAGCTTAATGGTCAGTCAATGATTGGCTAATCATTGACTGATCTATATTGATGCAGTAAGGCTTCTACTCCTTGTGAATGGATCTGTATGGGTTAAAGAAGTATTGTTTAGACAATGCCCTTAGGCATGGATTTTTCCATGCTTTGCTCCAGATCAAATCAGCCCCCTCAGGCAGTAGAGCTGTCATTCTTCACAGCCTACCTCACTCTGGTAGAACTACCAGGCCATGGGGCTGGGGAGTGGGAGATGGAAGCAGCTCCAGGCTAAAACATCACAGACTTCCACTGTTCTTACTGAAGTTCAGTAATTTTTCTTGATTAAATGCTTCTCAATTTGTTGTATGCCTTTGGTCAATTTCCAAGGTCCTAAAATTGTTGTTTTTGGCAGTTTTGTCAAGTTTTATCATTGTTTTTTTGCAGGAAAAATTGCTGAGTTTCTCCTTTAGCCATTCTGGAAGTTCCTTCAAGTGTTTGACTTTTGTATGTTCTTTTGTGACCCTTTTGAAAGAACCAAGGTTAGCTTTGATTCAGAAAAGGGAGAAAAGAAAGACAAGAACACCAGAAAGAAAACAGAAAGCACCAAGCATAATCAAAGCCAAAGGAAAATTTTGGCTTACGTTTTGTCTAATCCCAAACTTGTAACTGAAGGTAAGTTGAGGTCACAGTTGAGTTCTCCTAAACTCGGGAAACAGAAGTTCTAGGCAACTGTGGGATAAGAGTCATTCTTTAAAAAATAATACTACTTATTTTGGAGCCAAAGTTTTCTAATGAATCTTTATCCTATAGCTATCTGTTAATTTAGGCTAAATTCCTTAGGCTAACGCATAGACAAAGCATAACACAAAAGAAGAAATGCAATCTCATTATTTTATGGGTTTTTTTCTTCTAGCATCTAGAAGTACTCTATGGAAATCTTGGAAAGAAAGAGTTATAAAGCGACCTGCAACAGCCCATGCTTTAAGACCAGATCAGATGATTAGTGATGAATTTGCAACAAATACAAAAGTTTCAGAAATCCAAGATATGCTACAAGAACTCATAGGCACTGCAATGTTCAATAAATTGGAAAACAATGCTATTAAATATATATCATCAACAATAGTAAACCTTTCTAAAGCTTTGCGTACACTAAATGATGAAGTAAAAGTTTTTAACCTCCAAAGTGCAAATATGTATATAAATGAGACAAGTGAAAGAGAAAAAGAGCTCTCTCTGAAGATAATACAAGATCTCAGTGAAAAAAATGAAATGCTTCAGCAGAAACTTCAAGATGCAGAAGAAAAACGTGAACAGCTTATTCGATCCAAAGCTATAGTAGAACGTCAAGTACATGCAGCGTTGCCCACATCAACCTTGAAAGTGTTACCTAAGCTTTCTCCACAATCATCCATGGTCATTAGCAAAGCTGACGTAGAAGACAGTATGGACAGTGTTTTGGCCAAAGAATTGGAAAATATTGTAGATGAGGCCCAAAGAAAAGGGACCAAAGCCTCGGGGATCAAGTGGGACTCAACTATTTCATACACAGCCCAAGTTGAGATGACTCCAGATTTAACTGAACAGCAATACCCTTTACCTGAAAAAAAACAGAAAAAGTCTTCTAGCAATATTACTGAAGATATTACTGAAGATAAGATATCACTGAAGGAAGGTGGTGTCTATCAGAAAGATGGGACTGACCCGTATCAATTACAGAAAACAAAACACACAAAAGGCCCAGATATGCATGAGACCTCTGGACCAAATCTGAGTGATGACAAAGGTGAATACAAAGTCTCAGAAACTAAACTTGATCACCACTCTGAGCTACAAGCACTAGAAAAGAAGAAAAAAGAAAGAAAATCCTCTTCTGAAGCCAAATCAAAGTCATCCACTGAATCAAAAAGTCAACATGTCCCTGCTGATTTCCTTTCTACGAACATAAATAGCCAAGGTGGCAAAAGCGGAACAAGTAGTGTGTGGGATCAACTCAGGAAGGTCAGACCTGAACATTCACTTGACAAAAGCCAGATTTCTTCAGAGAAGAAAGAGGAGCCCACCACTGAGTCAATGGCCAAAGAGAGCAAAAGCGAGATGAGTAGTCAAGCAGAGCCATTCAGGTTGATCCAACTTGATTATTCCTCTGAGAAAGTGAAAACAACAGGAAAGAAACATCCAATTTCTCTAGGAACCACCACAAGCAAAGAAGGAAAAACTGAAGAGAAGGACGTGTTAGCCTTTGACAAGAAAATCAAATCGCATGAACTTGTTAAATCACAGTCTAGGATAACTAAAGAGACTTCAGAATCTACCAGAGCTCTAGGAAGTCTAGATGGCAAAAGTGAACAGAGTAACCTAGAA